ATCAAGCTAGTAGTCATCATCATGAATCAAGTCGACAAGCTACTGGCAAATCCTTGTCAATCCTTGTCATATGAAGAGAAATAATGAAGAGAAATTATAGATAAAACGTATCGGGCTCATCGGCCATTGGACATAAACATTACACAACAAGTTGGAAATCACAAATTCAACAATGAGTGGTTTGGAAGGAATCAGTGGCTAACTGCAAGCATTGCAAAGCATTCACTAGCCTGCTATTCAGTGGAGTGGGTGTGTGGTCCAAGTCTAGGTTTAAGGGTCTCTTTTCCAAGCTTAAAAGGATAAACATTCAACATTGGCCATGCTGTCAATCCAGCATGACTTCTGCCGCGTTCAAAACAACTGGAAACTCGGAACTTGGAAATCTCAGACTTCAGTGAGTTCAAGACAACTGGGAACTCTGAAAAAAAACGAGCTCCGACTGGGAAAATACTTTTTGAATGGTCATCCAACTCGGAATTGCAAGTCGGGAACTCTGGCTTCTTTCTAGAGCTCCAACCTGAAGATCACTGACGTCATCATGATTCAACCTTGTTTTTATCAGAGTTCCCAGTTGTCTTGAAAGCACCATAAATCCAGAGAATGCCAGACTTTGATGACAAAGTGTTGGGGAGGACTGGCGGGTGGCGGGCGGCGTGTGGCGGTGGCAGTAACAGTGGCGGGAGCTGCGCTGGTGGGGTGGTGGAGCAGTCACATCAAAGCAGCTCATATAGAAATTTGGAGAAGAATTAGTGGAACTGAATGAAACAAGGCTGCTCAGCTCTGATATACAGCGCCTTCAGAAAGTATTCATACTTTGACTTATTCCACATTTTGTTGTGTTACAGCCTAAATTCAAAATTGATTAAATATATTTTTTGCTCTCCCTGATCTACACACAATACCCTATTATGACAAAATGAAAACATGTTTTTAGACATTTTTGCACATTTATTTCAAATGAAGTACAGAAATATCTAATTTACATAAGTATTCACAAACCTGAGTCAATACTTTGTAGAAGCACTTTTGGCAGCGATTACAGCTGTGAGTCTTTCTGGGTATGTATCACTGAGTGGCGCAGTGGTCTAAGGCACTGCATCGCAGTGCTAGCTGTGCCACTAAAGATCCTGGTTCGAATCCGGGCTCTGTTGTAGCTGACCGGGAGACCCATGGGGCAGCGCACAATTGGCCCAGTGTCATCCAGGGTAGGGAATGGCTGGCAGGGATGTAGCTCAATTGGTAGAGCATGATGTTTGCAACGCCAGGGTTGTGGGTTCAATTCCCATGGGGGGCAAGTATGAAACATAAAAAAACAATGTATGCACTCACTAACTGTAAGTCGCTCTGGATAAGAGTGTCTGCTAAATGACAAACATGTATCTAAGAGCTTTCCACACCTGGATTGTGCAACATTTGATCATCATTTTTCAAGCTCTGTCAAATTGGTTGTTGATCATTGCTAGACTGTTGTCTGGACCTATGGCAGTCTCTATGGGGGTGCCACAGGGTTCAATTCTTGGGCAGACACTTTTCTTCGTGTATATCAATGATGTCGCTCTTGCTGCTGGTGACTCTCAGATCCACCTCTACGCAGACGACACCATTTTGTATACATCTGGCCCTTCATTGGAAACTGTGTTAACAAACCTCCAAACGAGCTTCAATGCCATACAACACTCCTTCAGTAGCCTCCAACTGCTCTTAAACACCAGTAAAACTAAATGCATGCTTTTCAATCGAACGCTGCTGGCACCCGCCCACCCGACTAGAATCACCACTCTCGACGGGTCTGACCTAGAGTATGTGGACAACTACAAATACCTAGGTGTCTGGTTAGACTGTAAACTCTCCTTCCAGACTCACATAAAGAATCTCCAATCCAAAATTAAATCTAGAATCGGCTTCCTATTTCGCAACAAAGCCTCCTTCACTCATGCTGCCAAACATGCCCTCGTAAAACTGACTATCCTACCGATCCTTGACTTCGGCGATGTCATTTACAAAATAGCCTCCAACACTCTACTCAGCAAACTGGATGTAGTCTATCACAGTGCCATCCGTTTTGTCTCCAAAGCCCCATACACTACCCACCACTGTGACCTGTACGCTCTTGTTGGCTGGTCCTCACTACATGTTCGTCGTCAAACCCACTGGCTCCAGGCCATCTATAAATCACTGCTAGGCAAATCCCCGCCTTATCTTAGCTCATTGGTCACCATAGCAGCACCCACCCGTAGTCTGCGCTCCAGCAGGTATATCTCACTGGTCATTCCCAAAGCCAACACCTCCTTTGGCCGCCATTCCTTCCAGTTCTCTGCTGCCAATGACTGGAACGAATTGCAAAAATCTCTGAAGCTGGAGACTCTTATCTCCCTCACTAACTTTAAGCATCAGTTGTCAGAGCACCTTACCGATCACTGCACCTGTACACAGCCCATCTGAAATTAGCCCACCCAACTACCTCATCCCTATATTGTTATTTATTTTGCTCTTTTGCACCCCAGTATCTCTATTTGCACATAATCTCTTGCACATCTAGCATTCCAGTGTTAATACTATTGTAATTATTTTGCACTATAGCCTATTTATTGCCTTACCTCCATAACTTGCTACATTTGCACACACTGTATATATATTTTCTGTTGTATTTTTGACTTTATGTTTTTTTACCCCATATGTAACTCTGTGTTGTTTTTATCGCACTGCTTTGCTTTATCTTGGCCAGGTCGCAGTTGTAAATGAGAACTTGTTCTCAACTGGCTTACCTGGTTAAATAAAGGTGAAATAAATAAAATAAATAAAAGACAACCATTTTCAGGTCTTGCTGTAACTCAGCCACTCAGGAACATTCACTGTCTTTTTGGTAAGCATTGTAGATTTGGCCTTGTGTTTTAGGTTATTGTCCTGCTGAAAGGTGAATTCATCTCCCAGTGTCTGGTGGAAAGCAGGCTGAATCTAGGATTTTGCATGTGCTTTTTTATCCTGAAAAACTTCCCAGTACTTAACGATTACAAGCATACCCATAACATAATGCAGCCATCACTATGCTTGAAAATATGGAGAGTGGTACTCAGTAATGTGTTGGATTGGATTTGCCCCAAACATAACACTTTGTATTCAGGACAAAAAATTGCTTTGCCACATTTTTTGCAGTATAACTTTGCCTTGTTGCAAATAGGATGCATGTTTTGGAATATTTTTATTCTGTACAGGCTTCCTTCTTTTCTGTAACTGTTTTAAAGTCACCTTTGGCCTCATGGTGAAATCCCTGAGCAGTTTCCTTCCTCTCCGGCAACTGCGTTAGGAAGGACGCCTGTATCTTTGCAGTGACTGGGTGTATTGATACACCATCCAAAGTGTAATTTATAACTTCACCAGGCTCAAAGGGATATTCAATGTCAGCTTTATTTTTTGTACCCATCTACCAATAGGTGCCCTTCTTTGCGAGGCATTGGACAATCTCCCTGGTCTTTGTGGTTGAATCTGTGTTTGAAATGTACTGCTCGACTGAGGGACCTTACAGATAATTGTATGTTTGGGGTACAGAGATGAGGTAGTCATTCAGAAATCATAATTAACCCTATTAATCCATGCAACTTATGTGACTTGTTAAGCACATTTTTACTCCTGAACTTATTTAGGCTTGCCGTAACAAAGGGGTTGAATACTTATTGACTCAAGACATTTTAACATTACATTTTTTATTAATTTGTAAACATTTCTAACAACATAATTCCACTTTGACATTATGGGGTATTGTGTGTAGACCAGCGACAAAAAAATCTAAATGTAATCCATTTTAAATTCAGGCTGTAAGAGAACAAAATGTGGAAAAAGTCAAGGGGTGTGAATACTTTCTGAAGGCACTGTGTACAGGGAAACACACACATACTCTCACTTCAACACACACACCACCCCTGTGGTGATATCAACAGTGTTCCTCTCAGCTTAGGGTGGGTGGTGACCAGCTCTGTCCATCGCTGGGGGAGTGAGATAGAGTTATAGCAGCCTGAGGAGGGTGTGTGTGTGCAGGTGCGTGTGCGTCTGCGTGTGTGAGTTTGTGAGTTTTTGCATGTGTACGTGCATGTGTGTGTGCTTGCCTTCATCTGTGCTTAAGTAAGTGTGTGTGTGCGTGTGTACTTGCATCAGTAAATAGGACATAGAGGAACAGCCCTCAGGGGTGTGAGGGAGGCGCTTCCTGCGAATAGTATAAATCATATCTGTATATTCCATCCTCAGAGAGAGAGAGATGAAAAGTCTCCTGCTGGGAGTTTATACAGCGTGTGTGTTTTTACAGCTATTCTGCACTGCCTCCGAACTGCACTGTTCGCACAAGGCGCGGCGTATTTTTAGAACACTTGTGGGAGTTCATGTGCTTCTTGAATGAGACCAGTAAACTGGGTAGTTTCAGTCCCGCCACATTACCAGCAATGTCATTATTGTGTGTAGCAACTACAATGATCTCGAGCTGGAGTTTGTGAGCAAGAGTTGGTAAACTGGAGTTGATAGTGTAGGTGTTTGGGTTGGGGTTGATTGTCTGAAGTTCTATTGACATCAGAGACTCCATGCTCAGATCAATAACATCTGCATTGCTGTATTTTCAACCCAACCTCCAAAGGATTACAGCATGTGCACAGGCGAGAGAAAACATTCTCTGCCTGTATCTGTGTCTGGCGTTTGTTTGTAAGTCCTGACAACTCTTGACAGCTAGGCCTGACAGACTGTCCACATTTCACTCTGATATGTTCACACTTCACTCAATCTCTCTGTCTCTCTCCCCCCCCCCCCCCCCCCCCCGCAACCCCCCCGCTTTCTCCCTTTGTCTCCCTCTTGTTCCCTCTCACCTCCTCCCCCTGTCTCTCTGGTCACAGTGATCTGACAGTGATGTCGTGTCGAGGCCCTCCCTTCTCTCTGCGCCCCTTGTTTTCCCGTGAGGCCCATGTGACCTAGACGTCGCCCAAACACAGGGGGCCCGTGCCCGCCGCCGCTGGCGCCCACCCATGAATCCCAGCCCCGACCGCGGCAAAGAGTGCCTCCCCCCTAAGAAGAGGGAGTCCCGGCATGGCTCGGCCGACCAGCGCCCCCCCCTGGACGAGTTCAAACCGCCCGCTACGCCCCCCAGGACCTGGCCCGCAAGCAGCTCAGGGAGGGGGGAGGGGGGCAGGGAGAGTGAACCGCCACAGACGAACCGCCACAGCCTGCTACCCTCTATCCCACCCCCCCTCCCATCCCCGGTTATCCCCTTTCCCCTGCCATGGCACCTGGCCTACCCCTCCTCCGCCCCCCTCCCCCATCACTCCAGGTGGCTCCATGGTGAAATCCCCCTGACCCTGCCACCCCCCTCCTCATCCTCTTCCTCCTTTAAGAGCCCCTTCCCTGCTGACTCCAGAGACATGTGGTCCAATTTTAACACAGGCCGAAGGGACTACAGCTCCTCTCTCTACCTCCCTGACCTCTCCCTGACTGAGGGCAGACACAGGTACCCGGGCAAGAGGCCCAACGGGCTAGATGGGCTGGGCAGCAGGACTGCCTCTGCATCTAGGGTGGCACCCCCCTCAGGAGAGTACGGGAACGAACCCAGCGGCAGTGCCAGGCTGGGCGGCAGCCCCCACGGTTCCCATGCCAACGGGAGAAGGAGACACCAGGAGGTTTCCACAGTGCGTTCCCAACCTTTCAGAGATTTCCAAGTGCCACCTCCGGAGGGCCCTGACTCACATTCCTCTCTGCAGGACAGGGACCCCCGCGGGACGCCAAAGGCTGGGACCCCCACCCTGATTCCCACCAGTCCCCAGCCCTATGGGGCAGAGATCCGGGCAGGGAGAGGGGAGCTGCTGGACCCCCTGGGGGGCTCTGTGGCGGAGGCCCATATCTACTACTCCCTGAGGTCTGTGTACTCCACCCTGCAGCCCAGCCACCTCAGTCCCCAGGCCCAGGCTCAGCACTACCCACTGTACAGCCCCTCAGGCAGCTCTCTGTATGGCCTGAACACCATGAGGGACTCACAGCACTCAACCCAAGGGCAGCCCAACAGCCACAGCACAGAGAGAGACAGACAGCAAGAACAAGAACGAGAAAGAGAACATGAAGGAGACAGAGACATCAGACAGAGAGACAGCAAGAGAGACAGAGATAAAGACAGCAGGGAGCTCTCCCCTGGGCAGCAGTACTCACGTCCCCTTGCCTCCCCCCTCCTTCCCCACATGACCGCCTCACCCCCTGCCCCCCACCACATCCCCCCAGCGCTCCTACCTCACTTTGCCAAGGGTTCTCTGATTGAGCTGGTGGGGGGTCGTCTGAAGCGTGTGGAGGAGCTGAGGACAGAGGACTTCCTGAGGAGTGCCGACACCTCCCCAGAGTTCCACCTGAGCACCTGCACCGTGCTGCTCATCGCCCCCAGCAACACACACGGCTTCAACCACCTGCAGGTCCTCCTCACAGACCGCAACACTCAGGTCAGGGGCTCATCGATCCTCTATATTTCTATTTGAGTCACTGCTAGACAATAAATTATATTTAATTATAAAAGGCACTGGTCATTCACTAGTAAAGCAAACGTTTTTAATCCACTCCAATCATGTAAGGTAAACATATGACACATTTCCATTTAACAAGAATTGTTCAAATCATGAATTGAAATTAATCTCCTTAGTAAAAACTGTGTAGATGCCAGCACTGTTGTGAATATGTTGTTGTTATTCTGTGCATGTAGGAGTTACTGACGGTTCTGGTGGAGTACCCATTCTTCGTGCGTGACCGTGGCTGGTCTTCCTGCTGTCCCCAGAGAACTTCCCAGCTCTACGGCCTATCCTGCCGCCAGCTCAGCGAGGGAGACATCTGCCTGGCCCTCACCCCCTTACACACACCTCGCACACACACACACTCACACACACGCGCAGCCCCCCGGGGCCACCGCACACACACCCGGGCCGGGGCCTGCACACACAGGGAGGATATGCCCCCTCCTCCCCCTCCTCCTCCTCTTCCTCATCCCTCCCCTGCTCTCATCCCTCCTCCTCTCCCTCCTCCCCCTGCAGACCCCCTCACCCAGGAGCAGCCACGCCCACGCAAGAGGCGATGGTCTGCCCCCGACCTCCTCCCTTCCACCGGAACTACTGGGATTGACAAGACCACTGATTTACCTCACGGCTCCAAGCAGAGGAAGAGGCAGTAGAGCGCACACGCAAGCACAAACACACCCTCCTTGTGTGAGACCACGAGGCAGGGTTGCAGGGAAGGACAAAGAACAGGCAACTTTAAGGGTGTCCACACTGCTGCCCAAAGTATGAGCCCATACCTCTCTTCTTCAGTCCTCTGTTCCCATCTCCCTCTCTCTGCTTAGCACACCTCTGAAAGGGGCAGCAGTCTGGGGGGCAGCAGTCTGGGGGGCAGCAGTCTGAGGGGCAGCAGTCTGTGGGGCAGCAGTCTGGGGGGCAGCAGTCTGGGGGGCAGCAGTCTAGGGGCAGCAGTCTGAGGGGCAGCAGTCTGGGGGGTAGCAGTCTGGGGGGCAGCAGTCTGAGGGGCAGCAGTCTGGGGGGCAGCAGTCTGAGGGGCAGCAGTCTGAGGGGCAGCAGTCTGGGGGGTAGCAGTCTGGGGGGCAGCAGTCTGGGGGGCAGCAGTCTGGTGGGCAGAAGTCTGAGGGGCAGCAGTCTGAGGGGCAGCAGTCTAGGGGCAGCAGTCTGGGGGGCAGCAGTCTGGGGGGCAGAAGTCTGAGGGGCAGCAGTCTGAGGGGCAGCAGTCTAGGGGCAGCAGTCTGGGGGGTAGCAGTCTGGGGGGCAGCAGTCTGGGGGGCAGCAGTCTGTGGGGCAGCAGTCTGGGGGGCAGCAGTCTGAGGGGCAGCAGTCTGATGGGCAGCAGTCTGGTGGGCAGCAGTCTGAGGGGCAGCAGTCTGAGCTCCACATTGACAGCATGAGACGTTTAGTGAGACAATCAAGCACTTGTTTGTGTTCACTCTGTTTTCGTAATAGTTGACCCACACGCCTACTTACTGACAGTGTTTTCTGCAGGGTATCGATTTTCAATCAGTGTGAAAGTAAACTCTATTAAAGAAGTCTATCACAGTGCCCTCTGTAATTATTGGGAAAGTGACAATTTTGCTGTTGTTTTGTCTCTGTACTCCAGCACTTTGGATTTGAAATGATACAATGACTATGAGGTTAAAGTGCAGACTGTCCACTTTAATTTGAGAGCATTTTCATCCATACCAGGTGAACCGTAAAAAGATTACAGATCTTTTTGTACATAGTCCCCCCATTTTAGGGGACCAAAGGTATATATTCACTTATATGTATTAAAGTGGTCAAAAGTTTAGTATTTGGTCCCATATTCCTAGCACGCAATGATTACATCAAGCTTGTGACTACAAACTTGTTGGATGCATTTGCTGTTTGTGCCAAATAGAAATGAATGGTAAATAATGTATTGTGTCATTTTGGAGTCATTTTTATTCTAAATAAGAATATAATATGTTTCTAAACACTTTTACATTAATGTGGATGCTAACATGATTACAGATATTCCTGAATGAATCGTGAATAATGATGAGTGAGAAATTTAAAGATGCACAAATATCATAAACCCAAGACATGCTATTACAATAACAGGGGAGGTTAGCATTTTAATGGTATTTATATTTTAAATCACAAGCTTGATGTACTCATTGCTTGTTAGGAATATGGGACGAAATACTAAACTTTTGACTACTTTAATACACATATAAGTGAATTTGTCCCGATACTTTTGGTCCCCTAAAATGGGGGGACTGTTTACAAAAAGTGCTGTAATTTCTAAACGGTTCACCTGATATGGATGAAAATACTTTCCGATTAAAGCGGACAGTCTGCACTTTAACCTGTCATTGTATCATTTCACATCCAAAGTTCTGGAGTACAGAGCCAAAACAATTGACAATATATTACATTACAGATGTTCTATGCTAAACCGATTTAATGCAACCTCTCTCATTGTCACTTTCGAAACGCGTTCCCAGTTTTAAATCTTCTAGCTTCTTCTGAGCCGAAGTCTGTCAGCCGGTCGGTCGGGCGGTGGATCTGGGCAGGCAAGGTGAATGAAAGTATCAGCAACTCTTTGCCTTTTTTTCTATTCTCGTTACCGGGGGGGTCATGTCAATCGCTTGTTCGCCAAGGCGTTGCCCTTGTTCTTAACATTGTCTCAGCAAAGGGAAAAACACTAATGAAAATTTCGTAACAGACAGTCCCCTTCCACACAGACGTGTCTGTGTCACCTCGCCTCGAAACTGAGAGTGTTTTTCCATAAAAACAAAAAACAAAATAGAAAATAGAGAAAATAAAGAAAAAAGGATAGCTGGCGGGAGAGTAATGGTGCTAATAACATGTTGGAACATGATGCTTTGTGAACAGACATTTAACCCCTCTGTACTGTAGGGTGGCAGGTAGCCTAGCGGTTAGAGTGTTGGGCCAGGAAAGAAAGGTCCAAACATCGCTGGTTCGAATAACCGAACCGATAAGATGAAAAATCTGTCGATGTGCCCTTAACCCTAATTTTCACCAGCGGCACCGTACTACTATGGCTGACCCTGTAAAACACATTTCACTGCACCTACTCGGTGTATGTGAACATAAAACATATTACTTAATTTTTCTGTACCCCTTCTGTTCCCCTTTCTTTTCACCATGTACTCTACGTGTTCAAGCGCAGGGAAAATTGAAAGTATTGAAAGTATTTTAAAACTCAGATACGGGTATCTTTTCTGATTTAGCACACTCTTTCACTTTAGTTTTTGAAATGTATTTGTTTGTTTGTTTTTCAAAAACCTTACCTGTTTTTTTTTTCTTTGTAAATGTTAGAGCTATAAAAATTGTATATTTTTAAAATTGTGTGTCTGTTATATAATGTTCGCTAGAAATAATAATTAAAAAAAAGCTTGAACGATTTATACTGAATGAGGTGCATTTCTTGCCAATACAAGATGTTGATTGGCTTCATGTCATTGGAAAGAGAGAATATCCAATACTCCCACATATGGCATATCATTATAACGCCATCTTTCCTGTAGACCCATAGTAATCAAAACATTGCCATTAAACAATGGGAGCATTCAAGCAGGAGGTTAGAACCACAGTTATTTTCCAATCGTTTCGTTCTGAACAGAACAATTATTTTTTTGGTTCCGTTCCACTGTTCTGACCAGCAAAATAAAGTTCTGAACCGGTTCGAACCCCAAAAAAGTACTGGTATATATCGTTCCTTTCTGTTCCTTTTAAAACCTCTGAAATCATATAGTTTTTTACATTTAGATGGACATCACCAATCATGCAGTACGGAAAGAGCAGCTTGCTATGGAGCGGGCAAGCTATAGCTCAGTGAGTTGTTTACATGCATGATGGAAAGAGAAGTGTAGGACAGCAAGATGCAACTGAAATTTTGCAGGTAGGGAGAGAGTGAGAGAGGATGAAGGAGGAGGCTTGGCTTGAAGCGCTGGGCATCTTGTGAGGACATGCATTATCTGAATTAGGCCCACATAATTATACCTAGGGAGGAGCAGCTTCTATGAAGGAACTCTGAATGTATTTGAACTTCAGAGTTGGCTTAACGTTGGACCAGCTAGCTAGCTAACAAGCTTGTGTGCAGAGCAGCACACACACAGGCAAAGATTTTCAGCTGGCAGGCAGACACTGGAATACGTTTCTGAGTGACAGAGTGAGGGCTTTGCATAGGACCTTTGTTGCGTTTTTTTGTGGGACTGAAAAAGAATGCCCCGAATGTAAAAAAAACAACATTATTAACCGGTTCCCATGCATTAAAGATAATGGTTCTGTTCCAGAATATTATAGATAACTTTCATAGTTTATTTCCAGTTCTGTTCCCTGAACCGGTTCCAACCCCTGGTGTGCATTAATACTACTAATAATTTATGGCATAGCCAACACTCTAGTTCTAACATGACAAGAGAAAGGTTTATTTTTTCAATCGTTTTTAATGATTTTTAATGATTCACTTGATCTATAATCAGGTCTATAAATCTGTGACAGTTTCATACAACACACTTTGGACATGAAATCTTTTTTACATTTACATTTTAGTCATTTAACAGACGCTCTTATCCAGAGCGACTTACAGTTAGTGAATGCAAACATGTTTTCTTTCTTGTTTTTTTCTTCTTGTTTTTTCATACTGGCCCCCCGTGGGAAACTAACCCACATCCCTGCCGGCCAAACCCTCCCCTACCTTGAAACCATTGATATGTTTACTAGACTGGCTGTACATACGGTGCATTCGGAAAGTATTCAGACCCCTTGACTTTTTCCACATTTTGTTACATTACAACCTTATTCTAAAATTGATTAAATTGTTTTTTCCCCTCATCAATCTACACACAATACCCCGTAATGACAAAGAAAAAACAGGTTTTTAGAAAATTTGGCACATTTATAAAGAATTATCAACTGAAATATCACATTTACATAAGTGTTCAGACCCTTTCCTCAGTACTTTGTTGAAGCACCTTTGGCAGCGATTACAGCCTCGAGTCTTCTTGGGTATGACATTACACGCTTGGAACACCTGTATTTGGGGAGTTTCTCCCATTCTTCTCTGCAGATCCTCTCAAGCTCTGTCAGGTTGGATGGGGAGCGTCGCTGCACAGCTATTTTCAGGTCCCTCCAGAGATGTTAGATCGGGTTCAAGTCCGGGCTCTGGCTGGGCCACTCAAGGACATTCAGAGACTTGTCCCGAAGCCACTCCTGTGTTGTCTTGGCTGTGTGCTTAGGGTCGTTGTCCTGTTGGAAGGTAAACCTTCGCCCTCAGTCTAAGGTCCTGAGTGCTCTGGAGCAGGTTTTCATCAAGGATCTCTCTATACTTTGCTCTGTTCATCTTTCCCTCGATCCTGACTAGTCCCCATGCCCTGCCACTGAAAAACATCCCCACAGCATGATGCCGCCACCACCATGCTTCACAGTAGACGCTTGGAATTCAGGCCAAAGAGTTCAATCTTGGTTTCATCAGACCAGAGAATCTTGTTTCTCATGGTCTAAGAGTGCTTTAGGTGCCTTTTGGCAAACTCCAAGTGGGCTGTCATGTTCTCCCCCGATTGCTCAGTTTGGCCGGGAGGCCAGCTCTAGGAAGAGTCTTGGTGGTTCCAAACTTCTTCCATTTAAGAATGATGGAGGCCACTGTGTTCTTGGGGACCTTCAATGTTGCAGAACTTTTTTGGTACCCTTCCCCAGATCTGTTCCTCGACGCGATCCTGTCTCGGAGCTCTACGAAGGAACATTTATTCAACCTTATGGCTTGGTTTTTGCTCTGACATGCACTGTCAACTGTGGGACCTTTCCAAATCATGTCCAATCAATTGAATGTACTACAGGTGGACTCCAATCAAGTTGTAGAAACATCTCAAGGATGATCAATGGAAACCGGATGCACCTGAGCTCAATTTCGAGTCTCATAGCAAAGGGTCTGAATACTTATGTATAAGCTATTTTTGTTTTGTAATTGTAATTTTCTTTCTCACTTTGTCATTATGGGCTATTGTGTGTAGATTGATGAGGGAAAAAAATAATTTAATAAATTTTAGAATAAGGCTGTACGTAACAAAATGTGAAAAAAGTCAAGGGGTCTGAATACTTTCCGAATGCACTGTACATTGCAATCACAAGTTGATTATGAGGTAAATGTACGTTTTTCACATTGTACAAGATACTGTACAAACATACTCAAACAATCCATTAATACAGTAAATGAAAAAACATAATGACGAAAGATGTCAAACATATACTGACAAAATTATTACTTTCTCTGTAGATACATTATAATAACAAAGTGTTTTCGCCGCCACTGTTTCGGTAAAAAGCTGAGGGATGGGGCTGGAGGAATGTAACCACTCTCAAATTCATAGACAGTGCTATGGATGCGAGGACTGACCATCCATGATATCAACATTATAGTTTTAACAATGTTTTGAGGCTAAACAGTGTATGTTTACATGTACTTTGTTTACAAACATTGGAGTAAAACAAGCTTATATTTTGGGTTTTGATGGGGTATGACAGTTGATCTAACGTCATGAGGCATTTATAAGTTATATTCTTCAATAATCATTGGGTACATATCATACTTTTTTCTCTATTTCTTTTATGGATGTAGCAACTGCAGATTATCTTTAAGAAAACTATGTGAGAAATATCTGTTCCAAGCATACTTGCCCCTATCTGTGTCGTATTATCTTGTTCACTGTGCTCTTAAGGTTGAGGCATATGATGCTGTCTACAGGGCATGCACTAAGCCTACCCTGACCCTCTTTGGGTGTCTCGAGTCTCCACTCACCCCTCATCATGGCTGGCTAGGCTGGGACAGGAGGGGGGCGCCAGGGGGGACAGGTGATGTTCCCCAGGGGTTACTCAGAGGGGGTCCTGGGCTCCTCACCGCTGGGGCAGTGGGTGTGGCTGACCCTCTTCCTCTTCCCCCATGGTGTTGTGTGTGTGAAGGCGTGGTCTCCCCTCTGTCTCCACAGTCTGGCATCTATGCAGTAGGTTGACAGCAAACAGGGGCACCACCTGCACACCAGACAGGAAGACAGTGTCACTGACTATGACTACGAGGACCTCTGATGGTAGCTGGAATACCTGCTATTTGCTGCTCGACTGGCAAGGAAATACCTGGATTGATAGAGTGAAAAACGTTCCAAATGTTATGTTTTTTTCATATTAATACTATATAACAATATAATAACAATGTATAGACTAAAACGTCATTTCAAAATCAACATACTGTACTGCGTAAGGTTCAGTAAAGGTTCAGTTGCTGTATGTAGCACAGGAATTCCCTAATCCACAGTGACTCCTGACCCCCCCCCCCCATTAGCCACCTGTGCAATGATCAGCTTCCTGGTTTTCGGTTGGCTGGCGTCGGGAAACTCCTCTCCAAAGCAGAGGTCAATTTCATAGCGAGGTTTGGGTCCCGCCCCCTGGATATAGTCCTGGAGCTCTGTGGAGAGAGATAAGGAGGGGATGGAGCGACAGAAGGGGAGGGATAGAGAGAGAGAAGGAGATGGATGGAGGGACAGAAGGGGAGGGATAGAGAGAGATAAGGAGAGGGATGGAGGTACAGAAGGGGAGGGATAGAGAGAGAGAAGGAGAGGGATGGAGGTACAGAAGGGGAGGGATGGAGAGAGAGATAAGGAGAGGGATGGAGGTACAGAAGGGGAGGGATAGAGAGACAGATAAGGAGAGGGATGGAGGGACAGAAGGGGAGGGATAGAGAGAGATAAGGAGAGGGATGGAGGTACAGAAGGGGAGGGATAGAGAGAGAGATAAGGAGAGGGATGGAGGGACAGAAGGGGAGGGATGGAGAAATGGAGAGCGAGAATATGAGAGGAATGGATAGGGAACTAGGTTCACCATCTCACCATGTCACATCTGTTTGCTACACAAAAGTTGCTTTAGTAAAGACCCTACCCTTCAGAAATATAGGTGTGTCCAGCAGCTTGCAGGTCCTCTCCCTGTCCAGTTTGTTGGGCCTGTCTGCGTGTTGGGCCAGAGGGCCACTCCAGTACACCCTGCCCTGGCAGAACCTCTTGATAAACACCCCATCTGGAGCCACCCACACCAGGACGCCCCTCTCCAGGTGGGGCAGCAGGCGGCCCATGGCCTCAGCGATGCCCAGGGGCAGGGGGATGACCCCTGGAGGGGGGAAGGGGACCTGTTGGGCTGTGCAGGGTCCATAGATCCTCTCGTTCCCCAGGGGGACCTGTCCCTGCAGGAGGAAACAGCCGTCTGGGGTGCTGGTGGTTACATCCACAACCAGCTGGCCCTGGTAGAACAGACACACCCGCACACGCAAGTCTGGACACACACACACACAGACGCAAACAAACACACACACACACTAATTAATCAATCAAGCATCAACCACCCAGGTAGAAGAGAAAACCGCGGGAAGTAGTATTTTTCTATTCCGATTTTTCAGGGGGGCTGCAGTACCCTCAGCACCCCTACTTCCTGCGGCTATGCCAGCACTACTGCGACCCTCCAGGCTCTAGTTTGAATGACCCTGCAGTGTATGGGTTGTCTTACCAGAGATCTGTGGTGTAGGGCCGACTATGGAGAGAGGAGCAGAGCTGTCCCTCTGGGGAGTCCCTGTGTTGGACCAGTAGTACACATGGTCCCCTTCCAAGCCCTCTAGATGGGAGAGAACACACACACAAATATATCTGACTCAACATTGTTCAGTTATTCAGCTACCAGTCACAAGTGCATGGAGGCTGATACTGACCGCTGGAGTTGACTCTTCTATCCCTGACCTCTGATTCCCTATGGCAGCCAAACTGAGGGGACACACATATTTACAGCAAATCATCTGATTTACAGAACATTCAGTGCAAATGTGCAACACTTGATTCCTATGTAAATGTAGAGTTGTTGCAACCATTGTCCTCTAGATGGCAGCAACTATACATCTGCCACACATCATTGAAGAGAAAACCTGCCATGTTACCTGTGGATAGTGTGTGACGGTGTTCCTCAGGGGAGCACTGGAGTGGCTGGTCTGAGGACTCTCAGTCTGAGGAGATTCTGAGAGAGAGAAGGCGTAATAGAGAGTAAATAATCACACTTTTAACCCATAAAGGGCTCTGAGCTCTCTAGACTAGAGCTTCATGAGGAGACTGGAAATTGCAGCTACTGGTACCTGAGTCTCTGCCTGTCTCTGGCTCTGCCTGAATGTGGTAGACCTTGTAGGGCTCGGATACGTCTAACTGGCTGCGCTCTGGGACCTCCATGAAGTCTGTGCTCTTGTTGAGGGCACAGCGGAGACGAGTTTTCCAGGTGGTGGGATCTGCCTTGTCCCTCCCCTCCCAATACTTCCCCTTATACACTGCCCACGCCTGGTAAGGGGAAACACACACATAAACACACACACACACACACATACACAAACACATAAAAAGAAGGATATGAGTGCCAAAAGAGAAACACAGAGTACGTTTATGGCTGATGAACATAGCTGTGCCCTGGACACCATATGTGAACTGATTGCCCCCCATCTATCCTCAGAGTTCGTACTGCTCGGTGACCTAAACTGGGATATGCTTAACACCCCGGCCAACCTACAATTTAAAATAATAAATAAATAATATGCCATTTAGCAGACGCTTTTATCCAAAGCGACTTACAGTCATGCGTGCATACATTTTTGTGTATGGGTGGTCCCGGGGATCGAACCCACTACCTTGGCGTTACAAGCGCCGTGCTCTACCAGCTGAGCTACAGAGGATGCCCTCAATCTCACACAAATTATCAACAAACCTACCAGGTACAACCCCAAATCTGTAAACATGGGCACCCTCATAGATATACTCCTGACAAATTTACCCTCTAAATACACCTCTGCTGTCTTCAACCAGGATCTCAGCGATCACTGCCTTATTGCCTGCGTCCGTAATGGGTCCGCGGTCAAACGAACACCCCTCATCACTGTCAAACGCTCCCTAAAACACTTTAGCGAACAGGCCTTTCTAATTGACCTGGCCCAGGTATCCTGGATGGATATTGACCTCATTCCGTCAGTAGAGGATGCCTGGTTGTTCTTTAAAAGTGCTTTCCTCTCAATCTTAAATAAGCATGCCCCATTCAAAAAATTCAGAACTAAGAACAGATATAGCCCCTTGTTCTCCTCAGACTTGACTGCCCTTGACCAGCACAAAAACATCCTGTGGCGTACTGCATTAGCATCGAACAGCCCCCGCGATATGCAACTTTTCAGGGAAGTCAGGAACCAATATACACAATCAGTTAGGAAAGCAAAGGCTAGCTTTTTCAAACAGAAATTTGCATCCTGTAGCACTAACTCCAAAACGTTTTGGGCCACTGTAAAGTCCATGGAAAATAAGAGCACCTCCTCCACTGATAAATCTACAATAATCGAGAATTTCAACAAGCATTTTGCTACGGCTGTCCATGCTTTCCACCTGGCTACCACGGCCACCAGCTCTGCACCCTCCGCTGCAACTTGCCCATGCCCCCCCCCCCCCCCCCCCCCCCCCCCCCGCTTGTCCTTCACACAAATTCAGACAGCTGATGTTCTGAAAGAGCTGAAAAATCTGGACCCCTACAAATCAGCTGGGCTAGACAATCTGGACCCTTTCTTTCTAAAATTAGCCACCAAAATTGTCGCAACCCCTATTACTAGCCTGTTCAACCTCTCCTTCGTAACGTCTGAGATCCCCAGAGATTGGAAAGCTGACGCGGTCATCCCCCTCTTCAAAGGGGGTGACACTCTAGATCCAAACTGTTACAGACCTATATCCATCCTGCCCTGCCTTTCGAAAGTATTTGAAAGCCAAGTTAACAAACAGATCACCGACCATTTCGAATCCCACCGTACCTTCTCCGCTATGCAATCCGGTTTCCGAGCTGGTCATGGGTGCACCTCAGCCATGCTCAAGGTCCTAAACGATATTATAACCATGATCGATAAAAGACAGTACTGCGCAGCCGTCTTCATCGACATGGCCAAGGCTTTCGACTCTGTCAACCACCGCATTCTTATTGGCAGACTAAATAGCCTTGGTTTCTCAAATGACTGCCTCGCCTGGTTCACCAACTACTTCTCAGATAGAGTTCAATGTGTCAAATCGGAGGGCCTGTTGTCTGGACCTCTGGCCGTCTCTATGGGGGTGCCGCAGGGTACAATTCTCGGGCCGACTCTATTCTCTGTGTATATCAATGATGTCGCTCTTGCTGCTGGTGACTCTCAGATCCACCTCTATGCAGATGACACCATTTTGTATACATCTGGCCCTTCATTGGACACTGTGTTAACAAACCTCCAAATGAGCTTCAACACCATACAACACTCCTTCAGTAGCCTCCAACTTCCTCTTAAACACTAGTAAAACTAAATGCATGCTCTTCAACCGAACGCTGCTTGCACCCGCCCACCCGACTAGAATCACTACTCTCGGCGGGTCTGACCTAGAGTATGTGGACAACTACAAATACATAGGTGTCTGGTTAGACTGTAAACTCTCCTTCCAGACTCACATTCAGCATCTCCAATCAAAAGTTAGATCTAGAATCGGCTTCCTATTTCGCAACAAAGCCTCCTTCACTCATGCTGCCAAACATGCCCTCGTAAAACTGACTATCCTACCGATCCTTGACTTCGGCGATGTCATTTACAAAAAAACACTCTACTCAGCAAATTGGATGTAGTCTATCACAGTGCCATCTGTTTTGTCACCAAAGCCCCATATACTACCCACCATTGTGACCTGTACGCTCTTGTTGGCTGGCCCTCACTACATATTCGTAGCCAAACCCACTGGCTCCAGGTCATCTATAAATCACTGCTAGGCAAATCCCCGTCTTATCTTAGCTCACTGGTCACCATAGCAACACCCACCCGTAGTCTGCGCTCCAGCAGGTATATCTCACTGGTCATCCCCAAAGCCAACACCTCCTTTGGCCGCCATTCCTTTCAGTTCTCTGCTGCCAATGACTAGAACGAACTGCAAAAATCTCTGAAGCTGGAGACTCTTTTCTCCCTCACTAACTTTAAGCGTCAGTTGTCAGAGCAGCTTACCGATCACTGCACCTGTACACAGCCATTCTGAAATTAGCCCACCCAACTACCTCATCCCCATATTGTTATTTATTTTGCTAATTTGCACCCCAGTATCTCTATTTGCACATCATCTTTTGCACATCTATCATTCCAGTGTTAATTACGAAATTGTAACTATTTTTGCACTATGGCCTATTTATTTATTGGCTTACCTCCATAACTTACTACATTCGCACACACTGTATATATATTTTCTGTTGTATTCTTGACTTTATGTTTTGTTTACCCCATATGTAACTCTGTGTTGTTGTTTTTATCGCACTGCTTTGCTTTATCTTGGCCAGGTCGCAATTGTAAATGAGAACTTGTTCACAACTGGCTTATCTGGTTAAATAAAGGTGAAAAATAAAAAATAAAAAAATAGAGGAAGAGCAACATATGCACTGATATGCACATGGACATCCAAATCAATGCATTAATTAGGTCTATATCAATTACATTGATCAATCTATTGAGTTAAATTGGACTTGACACAATGTATTGCTTGCCACTGTATCCTCAACAATACCTTGACACCTAAATATGTTGGTATTACATGGCTCTTGAGGGGTCTCTGTTTGACCATGTTGTACACAATCTTGTGTAAAAAGGTTTATAGAAACAATATACATTCTAACCTTGAATAGTGCTGCATCTTCGTTCAGACTATAGTCATGTTTAGCCGCATGTTTCCATGGGATCCTGAACATCGTTTTGTCTTCGTTCTCCCAGGTGAGTCCTGCATACTTTCCGCTGTCTATCTGCGCTATCAGCCACTCTCTCAAATGCATTTTCTTGACCGGCTCCTCCATCTTTAAAATACATATGAAACGAATAGGCTACTACCAAAAAATCAAAAAGTTGTTCTTGCATGTGTAGATACCACAAGTAAGCCTATTCACAAGATCCCTCTTTGCACATAGACTATAATATTCAAATACAAAATTATTAATCAAAATAAAATGTCTATATTTCAGTTAGGCTATATCAATATTTTCCATTATTCATTTCAGCACACCGAATTTGACCATGGAAATGTGCCCATGAAAGTAATCCTCATGCACTGTAGAAGTGCTCAGGGCGCCTTTTTAAATGAAAATGAAAGTAAAAAGTGGGCTAAACCAAATATGATCTATCTGAGAGTACTTTCAGTTTCCGACTAGATTTGTAGGCTACATGCTATGGGCTCAGTTAGCAGCCAGAGTGCACGGAGGTGTGTTTTTACAAAAAAAATGAAATTCCATTGCTGGTACTTGCAGAACATATTTTTTGGACAAAAAATACAACCATTTTATCCTAAATAAATTATTAGAACAATTCATTTTAGCCTACCTATTCTTTTGTAAAACAAGACATCTCTCTACTTTATAGGCCTACAGTCAGTTCAGTTATGATAAAATATTGCATGCCATTACAGCCTTTCGAAACAACTGATGTAATTTTTCAATATCTGAAGTAATCTATTATCAGTTACCTTTCAGCCTAGTTTATTTTCCTCATGACTGAGTCGCCTTTGGTTTCCCTTTCCCTTCATCATGTGGCGAATGGAGATTCATGCACCACAGTAATGCTCTTTCAGGATTAATAGCTTAACATCTGTTTATTTCATGAAGGGTTGTGAAAGTCCCAGGGGTCACATAGGCCTATAGAGAATGTAATTTCAAAAATCATTAGTATGATTCTAGCCCAATCAAAATACCTATTAAAAATACATCAAAAGAGAGAAGGGAGATATTTATCAAGTTATTATGAAGTGAAATTAATATATGATAGCTTGGTTGAATGTAACTGAAAAACATTTTAGTAATTAAAGACTGTCCTGTGAGGAATTGTGCCTCTCTCTCCTCCCCCAGTCTATGTGGAGAGGTACAGAGATGATAGGAGTGGAGAGACTTTGACAGAAGAAACAGGGGGATTTCCCCTTCAATCAACACTGGAATAAACTGTGTTGTTATTAAAGGGGACCCCCTGGGTAGTCATGTTGTTTCATGCTCACAGGCAGGCAATGCGCAATTTCTTGAAAAAATGTAGGTATGTGTGTGTTTGTGTGTGTGTGTGTGTGTGTGTGTGTGTGTGTGTGTGTGTGTGTGTGTGTGTGTGTGCGTGTGTGGGTGTGTGGATGTGTGTGTGTGGGCCTGTGTGTGCGAGTGTGTTCATGCGCATGTGTGCGTGTGTGCCTGTGTGTGTGTGTGTGTGTGTGTGTGTGTGTGTGTGTACACGTGCATAGTTGTGTTTCTCTGTCTGCTATAGGTTTTGTTTCCTGTTCTTAACCACAGCAGTGAAGATTCATTTAGCCTCTGATGCAAAGGGGGGAAAACATCACGACAAGTCAGCACACAACATCTATATTTGGAGCAGAGATGAAGTGTTCCAACAAGATCAAGATTTGTCCTTGGCTGTCCCAGTATTCACATTCCTTTGACTCTCTAGTAGGCTCACCTTTATGTGTATCAGGTTGTGTTTCTACAGTATATGTATCATTTTATTTGAAAAGAGATAGGAAATCACCTTTAAAGGTGCACACACATACACACAGATGCACACACACACACACACACACACACAGATTAGAATTACCTTACGCTAACGCAATCTTCCGCTAGAACGACCAACACACACACACGTATGCATGCATGCACGCACGCACACACATACACACACTCACAAACACACAAAGACAAACACACATAGTATACTATACTAGGTCCTATTGGCTAAGATCTAACTCGCCCACACACTGAAACCTGGTAACAAATTCCATGTGAAAGTGAAAGTTAAATGGATTGTTCTGGAAAGGCTCTCCAACTCCTGCTCCTTTTATTACCAGCAATGAAAAAATAACAAGCAGTACTTTCATTCAGACCAACTGGTAGAAATAGAGTCCATGTCATTGGCCTACTGACAGTACAAGAACAAGGACCATATTACATACATACAGTGGGGAAAAAAAGTATTTAGTCAGCCACCAATTGTGCAAGTTCTCCCACTTAAAAAGATGAGAGAGGCCTGTAATTTTCATCATAGGTACACGTCAACTATGACAGACAAATTGAGAAAGAAAAATCCAGAAAATCACATTGTAGGATTTTTTATGAATTTATTTGCAAATTATGGTGGAAAATAAGTATTTGGTCACCTACAAACAAGCAAGATTTCTGGCTCTCACAGACCTGTAACTTCTTCTTTAAGAGGCTCCTCTGTCCTCCACTCGTTACCTGTATTAATGGCACCTGTTTGAACTTGTTATCAGTATAAAAGACACCTGTCCACAAC